ATCAAATAAGCAATCTAACCTTACACCTATAGGAACTAGAAAGAAAACAACAAACAAAGCCCATGGTGAGTAGAAAGAAGAAAATAATAAAGATCAGAGTGGAAATGAACAAAATAGAGTCTAACAAACAGTAGAAAAGATCAGTGAAAACAAGAGTTGGTCCTTTGAAAAGATAAACAAAAATTGGTAAACCTTTAGCCAGACTCAAAGAAAAAGAGAGAGGGCCCAGATAAATAAAATCAGAAAATGAAAAGAAGTGACAACTGACACTACAGAAATACAAAGGATTATAGGGAATCATTATGAACAATTATATGCCAACTAATTGGCCACCTGGAAGAAATGGATAACTCCCTAGTAACATACAATCTTCCAAGGCTGAATTGGAAGAAACTGAAAATCTATCAGGCCAATAACTACTAAAAAAAATTGCATCAGTATTCAGAAAACTCAACAAACAAAAGCCCTACACCAGATTGCCTTACAGGTGAATTTTACCAAACATTCTAAGATGAAATAATACCTATCCTCAAAGTATTACAAAAAATTGAAGAGGAGGGAAGGCACCCAAACTTAACTTAAAAAGCCAGCATTACTGATACCAAAACCAAAGACATTACCAAAAAATATATAGGTCAATATTTATAATGAACATAGATGCAGAAATCCTCAAGAAAATATTAGCAAACCAAACTCAGCAATACATTAATAAGATCATACACCATGATCAAGTGGGATTTAGTCCTGAGATGCAAGGTTGGTTCATTATCCACAAATCAACTAACATTAACATGATACACTACATAAACAAAATGAAGAATAAAAATCATATGATTATGTCAAAAGATGCAGACAAAAGCATTTCACAAAATTCAACACTTATTTATGATAAAAACTCTCAGCAAAATGGGGATAGAGGGAACATAATAAAGTCTATATATGACAAACCCACAGCTAACATCATACTCCAGAGTGAAAAGCTGAAAGCTTTTTCTTTATAATCAGGAACAACACAAGGATGTCCACTGTTACCACTTTTATTCAACATAGTATTGAACGTCCTAGCCACAGCAATAAGACAATAAAAAAAAAGGTATTTGAATTGGAAAGGAAGAAGTAAAACTGTCATTATTTGCAGATGACATAACACTATGTAGAGAGAACCCTAAAGATTCAAAAATACAATTATAACTAGTAAATGAACTCAATAAAGTATCAGGATGGAGAAGTAATATTCAGAAATTGGTTTCATTTTTATACACTAATAATGAACTATCAGAGAGAGAAATATAGTAAACAATCCCAATGCAATATATGGATGATATATTGTAAAAGTGTACACTTGAAACCTATATAATTTTAATTAACCAATTTCACCCCAATAAATTTAACAAAAATTTTTAAAAAGAAAATAGTCCCATTTATAATTGCATCAAAATAACGAAATACCTAGGAATAAATTTAAGCAAAGAGATAAAAGACCTGTACTTGGAAAACTATAAGACATTGAAGAAAGAAATAGAGGCATATACTGTGTTCATGGATAGGAAGAATTAACATCATTGAAATGTTCATACTACCCAAAGCAATCTACAGATTCAATACAATATCTGTCAAAATACCGATAACATTTTTCACAGAACCAGGATGAATAATCTTAAACTTTATATGGAACCATAAAGGACCTTGAATAGTTAAAGTAATCTTGAAAAATAACAAAATTGGAGGTATCACACTAGGCAATATCAAACTATACTGCAAGTCTATAGTAATCAAAACAGCATACTGGCATAAAAACAGACACATAGATCAATGGAACAGAATAGAGAGCGCAGAAATAAACCCACACCTATAAAGTCAATTAATCTTTGACAAAGGAGCCAAGAATATACAATGGGATAAACACAATCTCTTCAATAAAAAGTGTTGGTAAAACTGGACAGACACATGGAAAAAATGAACTGAACCACTTTCTTACACCATATACATGAATAAACTCAAGGATCCAAGATGGTGGAGGAGTAGGTGGAAGTTACACTCACTTCCTCCAAGGACCAAAATTACAACTAAATTATAGAACAATCAATCTGGATAACTATCTGAAGACTAGCTGAACAGAAATCTTATAATTAAAGATATACAGAAGTTACATCAAGACTTGTGGGAAGGTGGGAGATGCAAAAAGTCAGGCCCTGCATCTATGTGAGGCACTTGAGAATCCAGCGGGATAGCTCAGCTGCAAAGGTCCCCAGGAGGAGCAAGGGGTCTCAACCCCATGTCAGGCTCACCAGCAAGTAGCACCAGTGATGGAAAGAGGAACCCACGTAATATCTGTCTGTGAAAATCAGCAGGGATTCTGTCATCATAAGGAGTCTGCTGGAAACACAGGTGCCCTCTTGAAGGGCCAATGCACAGAACCTCTTTTGTGGATCCTTTCCCTGAGCTCTGGCAGAGTGACACTGGCTCAGAGGAGACCTGAGTCATATGGGGAGAGATTGGGTTGTGCGGCTTCAAGGAGAGGGCTGAAGGGACAGTTGCAATGCCCCTGTGCTGAATCCCTCTCCCGCACCACCCACAGACCATCTTTCCTGGGAGAAGCACCCCCCTTCATGTAGAATTAGTCTGAAGAGTTGCACTAGCTCCACCTTACTGACTATCTGAGGCCCTGCCCTCCAGGCTCTTACCTGCTGGAGGCATCTCCTGGTAGAAGCTTCTCTGGGCCTGTATTACAGTCTTTCTTGAAAAATTAGAGGAATTCTGGGCTAACTCATGAGATGTCAGAGACACAAAGAGTGGTGTAACTTTAAGGTGAGGGCCATTTTTTCTCCCACCAGCCCAACCAATGCCACCATTCCTGCGTTGGTCCTACATCCACAACCCTAATGTCATCAGCCTAGGGAGATGCACTAGAATCACCCTTCCAACACCCTGAAACTTACCTTGCCAAGATTGCACCTGGCAGAGAGATCTGCTGGCAGCAGCCAGCAGCCTGGGCCCATGTTGCAGTTTTCCTTGAAAAACTCTCAACAGGTGGCACTGTTCTTGTGCACAGCTCTCCACACATATGGCCAAATCTTCATCTGTTTTAGCTTGATGTACTCTAATGGCCTTACCCTGATAACTCCTGAGACACCACTCTACCACAGGCCACTTGCCACAGGTGGGTGATGGCTGGCCTCGGTGTACCCTGAAACTTTTGCTCAGTGGCCTCAGACCCAGCAGTGCCACGGAGTTCAAATGAACACCACTTGCCCCTGTTGACTCACTGAGAACCTGCCTCAGTGCAACTTGCATACTGCCTCAGGCTCTTTCAGAGGCTGAGCTTAATGGGAAGCTGGCAGGCGGAGGTGAATCTTGGGTCGTTTGCACCTTTTTGCTGGTTTGCTCCAAGCCCAGTATTGGTTTCAGCTGGCCTCAGTATGCATATTGGCCCCTCCCATGCATATCCAAGCCCAGCAAAGGCAGCTACCAACAGTGAATTGCTGTGTAGTTCCAAATAGGTAGCCCACAGGTGGTCACAGGCAGCATCTGACATTGACTGCACCAGAGTCTTACCCAAAAGGCTGCAGAGCCAATGCACCAAGTGGCTGGCTTCAGGCCACATCAGAATACAACTGTATTAGCTTCTCAAGTGGCACACCCAAAAGCAAGTCTTAGCAGGCACCAACCCTGCTGGGGCAAATTCCACTTCCTGGGATCAGCCCCAGCACAGCAGTTCATATACTGTGTTCTGTGTCAATTCTCACATTCAGCTAGCTTGAGGGTCAGCCCTACTCACAGATGAACCAATAGCAGTCAAGACTCAACTACAGCAGGAGGGCTCACATAACCCACTTAAGGGACATTCCTGGAGCACACTTTTCAGGTGATCGTGTAGACTGCACCACTGAGCCCCACAGGACACTTACTACATAAGACCATCTTACCAAGACTGGGAGACATAGCAGATTGATTTAATACATAGAAACAAACACAGAGAGCTAGCCAAAATAGGGAGACAAAGAAACATGTTTCAAATAAAAGAACAGGAGAAATCTCCAGGAAAAGAAGTCAAGCAACCTACCAGATACAGAGTTCAAAACAGTGGTTATAAGGAGGCTGAAGGAACTTAGGGAGAATTTCAACAGCATAAAAACAGAAATAGTAACCATAAAAAATAGTCAGAAATAAAGAATACATATCTGAAATGAATACAATATCTGAAATGAATATCTGAATACACTAGAAGGAATTAACTGTGGGTTAGATGAAACAGAAGATCAAATCAGCAATTTGGAAGGCAGAAAACACTTGACTGGAACAGCAAAAAGAAAAAAATGAGGATAGTTTAAGGGATCTCTGGGACAACATCAAGTGTAACAACATCCATATCATAAGGGTTCCAGAAGGGGAAAAGAGAGAGCAAGGGATTCAGAACCTATTTGAAGAAACAATGATGGAAAATTTCCCTAACCTGTTGAAGGAAATAAACACACAAGTTCAGGAAGTGCAGAGAGTTTCAAACAAGATGATCCCAAAGAGGCCCACACCAAGACACATCATAATTAAAATGGCAAAGGTTAAAGACAAAGGGAGAATCTTAAAAGCAGCAAGAGAAAAGCAATTATTTACCTACAAAGGAGCCCCCATAAGACTGCTCCTATAAGCTGATTTCTCAACAGAAACTTTTCATGCCAGAAGAGATTATCAAGAAATATTCAATAGGCTTGTTGTGGTTCCTTCCTCTTTCACTCCACCCTCAAGGCGATGGCAGTGTGGCGAGCCTGTTCCTGGCCTGCTGTCCTCCCACGCACCAACCTCTCCCAGCCAGTGAGCCCAGCGTCCCCAGCCAGTGGCAGCGGGGGTGCTCACCGGCTCAGGCTGTGACCAAGCTAGTGCCCCGCCTGGGGGCCTGCTAGTTCCGGGGCCACTGGCACCGGCACCGGGAGCATCCCCTCACAGCTCCCGAGGGGGTGAGCAAGCGAGTTCCAGGGGCTTGGGCAGGTAGTGTTGCAGAGAAGATGGTCGCCAAACAGCAGATCCGTATGTCTAAGGAGAACTACAACAAGAACATCACCCAGCGCAGCAACATCGCCAAGACCTCGAGAAATGCTCCCAAAGAGGAGTCTGTAGGACCCTGGTTATTGGCTTTCTTCATTTTTGTTGTTTGTGGTTCTGCGATTTTTCAGATTATTCAAAGTATCAGGATGGGCATGTGAAGTGACTGACCTTAAGATGTTTCCACTCTCCTGTGAATTTTAACTTGAAGTAATTCCCAATGTTTGATACCCTGGTTAAAAACAATTCAGTAAATCATCCTGCTTCAGAATGACTTTTCATATCATAATTCATGTGTCATTCCAAGGTTTCTTCATGAGTCATTCCAAGTTTTCTAGTCCATACCACAGTGCCTTGCAAAAGCACCACATGAGTAAAGCAATAAAATTTTATTGTTAAGCTGCTACAGTAGTGGACCCTACTTATTCAGTCATTTAAAAGGAAGTTTTTTAATGTGGTTATTAAACAGTATACAGTATAAATATTAGATTAAGTCTGTATAGACAGGGTCTAGATTTTGTTAACTCTAATGTGTACATGCAATTAGCTTAATTTAAAATTTAGAATTTTATGTTTTTTATATAGCTAGGCACTTACTACAATATCTTGAATTGAAGGCACACTCCCATATAGGGTCATGTACCTGTCCTGTAATAACTTGCTTATAAATGGACCCTACTTATTCAGTCATTTAAGAGTATTCCAAGAAAAGTTAAAGAAATTTCTTTAAGAAAAAGAAAGAAAATAAAGAGGAACATAAACATAAATAATAAAATGTAAATAAATTTATAACTATCAATAATTACTTTAAATGTAAATGGATTAAATGCTCTAATTAAAAGAACTAGGGTAGCTAAATGGATAAGAAAACAAGACCCATATATAGTCTGTCTACAAGAGACAGTTCAGACCAAAAGACACATACAAACTGAAAGGAAAGAGATGGAAAAAGATATTTCATGAAAATGTAAACAAAAAAGCTGAGGTAGCAATACTTATATCAGACAAAATAGACATGAAAACAAAGTCTATAATAAGGACCTTAAAACAAAAACTATAATAAGAGACAAAGTAGGACATTCAATAGTGATAAAGGGATCAATTCAACCAGGATCAATGTTAACCCTTGTAAACATTTATGCACCCAACATAGGAGCACCTAAATATGTAAAGCAAATATTGATGGACATAAAAGGAGAGATGGATAGTAATACAGTCATAGTAGGGGACTTTAACACCTCGTTGGCATCAATGGATATATCTTCCAGACAAAATCAACAGGAAACAGAAGCTTTAAATGGCACATTAGGATTTAATCGATATTTTCAGAGCATTTCACCCCAAGCCACAGAATATACATTCCTTTCAAGTGCACATGAAATATTTTACAGGATATACTACATATTAAGCCACAAAAATAAGTTTCAATATATTTAAGAAGATTGAAACCATATCAAGCATCTTTTCTACCACAGTGGTGTGAAACCAGAAATTAATTTAAAAAACACCAAAAACACAAACACAAAGAGGCCAAATAACATGTTAATGAACAATTAATGGGTTAATAATGAGATCAAAAAAGAAATGAAAAGATACTTTGAAACAAATGAAAATGAAAACACAACCCAAAAATCTATGACACAAGCAAAAGCAGTCCTAAGAGGCAAATGCATAGCATTATAAGCCTACCGCAAGAAAAAAGAAAATTTACAAATAAGCAATTTAAACTTACACCTAAAGGAACTAGAAAATGAACAACAAAAAAACCCAAGGTGAGTGGAAGGAAATAAGAATCAGAGGAGAAATAAACCAAATAGAGTTAAAAATACAATACAAAAACAAAAATTTAAAGAAAACAAGGATTAGTTCTTTGAAAAGATAAACAATAGTAGTAAATCTTTAACCAGACTCATCAAGAAAAAGAGAGAGGGGACCCCAAAAAATTATATTAAGAAATGAAAGAGGAGAAGTAACAACTGACTCCACAACTCTTAGTAATATTTTTTTCTGATCTATCTTTTGGGGCAAAGAAAACAAAAGAAAAAATAAACAAATGAAACTACACCAAAGTAAAAAGATTTTGCCTAGGAAAGGAAACCATCAACAAAACAAAAAGAATCTACTGAATGAAAGAAAGCTAATAATACATCCAATAAGGGGTCAATATCCAAAATTTATAAAGAACTCATACAACTCAACACCAAAAATAATCCAATTAAAAAGTGGGCAGAAGACCTGAATAGACACTTCTCCAAAGAGGACATACAGATGGCCAATAGACATATGAAAAGATGTTCGATGTCACTAATCATTAGAAAAATGCAAATTAAAACCATGAGATATTGGTTTTAAAATACCTGTCAACATGGCTATCATCAATAAATCAACAAACAACAGGTGTTGATGAGGACATGGAGAAAAAGGAACCCTTGTGCACATTTGGTGAGAATGCAGGTCAGTTGCAGCCACTACGGAAAACAGTATGCAGTTTCCTTAAAAATTAAAAATTGAGCTCCCTTGTGACCTAGTAATTCCACTTCTGGGTATATATTTTGAAAACTTGGTAAAGTTTCTGCCTATTATCAAGCATAAAATCGGTGCCTTGTATACTGTTACAAGAAACCAACTCATTTCTTCTTCTGTGTTTTGAAGAGAAATCCACATGTATTTCTACCATTACTCCCAGTTGCTGTTCCTCACCCAGTGAGGCTTAAATGGCCGGTTGGCCTTAAAGTTACTTAGGTCTAAAGCATGTGATAGGTAAACGCCCTGCGATAGGTGGATGAAAGGCAAATGAAAGAGCTTAGTGTACCAACTAGCATGGCGGTGGACCTATGCTGGCTGAGTATCTCATAAGCATCTAATACCTTCCCTCTTCTCTTTAAAATAAAAGAATAAGGAAGATTCTGTGATAACATCACTATGTGGTATATATTTAGAAATATAGAAAGTGTGGGGAGGGCACAATATTTTAGGCATGCCGCTGGCTGATTGTGTTACCTTGAACAAATCAAATCAGTCTTTGCCTGTCCGAAACTCCTTGCCTTTGTTTTCTCTTTTCATCCTCCCCTAAGGATATTTTTTCCATTGCTTTTCAGAGAGAGTGGAAGGGGGACAGAGACATAGATGTGAGAGACATATCCATTGGTTGCCTCCCACGCACCTCTGGCCAGGGCCGGGGGTGGAGCCTGCAACCGAGGTACGTGCCCTTGGCCAGAATCGAACCAGGGCCCCTTCAGTCCTCAGGCCGACGTGTAACCACCGAGCCACACTGGCCAGGGCTAGACTCCTCACCTTTAAAGTAAGAGAATAAGTTTTGTGTTTTGGCCTCTCTGAGAAGCAGCATCTTACAGCAGGTCTTCTCTGTCTCTTAAAGTTTGTAATGCAAAGCATAAGTCAGACGAAGGCAGAAATCTCCCTAACTCCTTTTTCTCTCTTTTCTCCCCAGATTATGTCAGAGTCACAATGAACTTGCATAATAACAATACAACTTTGCCATTGTTGCCAAACATCAGCTCTTTCTGGACACCTGGCTCCCCAGATGCAGGGCTGCCCCCAGGAACAGCCACTCATTTTGGCAGTTACAACATTTCTGGAGCAGCTGGGAATTTCTCTCCGCCAAATGGCACCATCAGTGACCCTCTGGGAGGTCATACCATCTGGCAGGTGGTCTTCATTGCATTCTTAACAGGTGTCCTGGCCCTGGTGACCATCATTGGCAATATCCTAGTGATAGTGGCATTTAAGGTCAACAAGCAGCTGAAGACTGTCAATAACTACTTCCTCTTAAGCCTGGCCTGTGCTGATCTGATTATTGGGGTCATTTCAATGAATCTGTTTACTACCTACATCATTATGAATCGATGGGCTCTAGGGAACCTGGCCTGTGACCTCTGGCTTTCCATTGACTATGTGGCTAGCAACGCCTCGGTTATGAATCTCCTGGTGATTAGCTTTGACAGGTACTTTTCCATCACAAGGCCACTCACATACCGGGCCAAAAGAACAACCAAAAGGGCTGGCATGATGATAGGTCTGGCTTGGGTCATATCCTTCATCCTGTGGGCTCCGGCCATCTTGTTCTGGCAGTACTTTGTTGGGAAGAGAACTGTGCCCCCAGGAGAATGCTTCATTCAGTTTCTCAGTGAGCCCACCATTACCTTTGGCACGGCCATCGCTGCCTTTTATATGCCTGTCACCATTATGACTATTTTATACTGGAGGATCTATAAGGAAACCGAAAAACGTACCAAAGAGCTGGCTGGACTGCAAGCCTCTGGGACAGAAGCAGAGGCAGAAAACTTTGTCCAAACCACAGGCAGTTCTCGAAGCTGCAGCAGCTATGAACTGCAACAACAAAGCGTGAAGCGCTCAGCCGGGAGGAAGTACGGCTGCTGCGACTTCTGGTTCCCAGCCAAGCCCTGGAAGCCCAGTGCCGAGCACATAGACCAAGACCACAGCAGCAGCGACAGCTGGAACAACAACGACGCTGCCGCCTCCCTGGAGAACTCGGCGTCCTCTGATGAGGACGACATTGGCTCAGAGACCAGAGCCATCTACTCCATCGTGCTCAAGCTTCCAGGTCACAGCACCATCCTAAACTCCACCAAGTTACCCTCATCAGACAGCCTGAAGGTGCCCGATGAAGAGCCGGGGACAGCGGACTTGGAGAGGACAGCCAGCAAGCTGCAGGCCCAGAAGAGCACAGATGACGGAGGCGGATTTCAAGAAAGTTTCTCCAGGCTTCCCATCCAGTTAGAGTCGGCCGTGGACACAGCCAAGACCTCTGACACCAACTCGTCAGTGGATAAGACCACGGCCACTCGGCCTCTGTCCTCCAAGGAAGCCACTCTGGCCAAGAGGTTTGCCCTGAAGACCAGAAGCCAGATCACCAAGCGGAAACGGATGTCGCTCATCAAGGAGAGGAAGGCGGCGCAGACGCTCAGCGCCATCCTGCTCGCCTTCATCGTCACCTGGACGCCCTACAACATCATGGTCCTGGTGAACACCTTCTGCAACAGCTGCATTCCCAAGACCTACTGGAACCTGGGCTACTGGCTCTGCTACATCAACAGCACCGTGAACCCCGTGTGCTATGCCCTGTGCAACAAGACCTTCCGGACCACCTTCAAGGCGCTGCTGCTGTGCCAGGGCGGCCGGCGGAGGCGGCGCCGGCAGCAGCTCCAGCAGAGACAGTCGGTGACCTTCCCCCGGCGCGTGCCCGGGCAGGACTTGTAGGGGCCTCGGAGGCAGCGACCCTGGGGGGCCGGTGAGGGCGACGCTCCTGCGATGAAAACGTTCTTACCGCTCAGATGTGAGAGAAGCTGCCTGTTGGCTGAACCATTGGATAAACCCACTTTAACATAAAAAGTGAAATATCAATTTTAAAAAAGCATATTACTGAATATAAAGAAATTTATTCCAAAATAGACTTAAAGTGTTTTTTTCTTAAAGAGAAAAAATTGTTTCATAGCTATTATACATCCAAATTGATCTGCTTGGTTCGTTTAATTCCCATTAGTTCTGAAATCTCAGATAGAAATAACTAGCTGCCCTGGACGCCGTGTTCTTTACAAGGATCCCAAAGGTGTTGACCCAGATTCCTCGTGGATAAGGTCAGGCTAGTGAATCTGTGGGTCTGGAATCATTTCATACACTGCTAAGCTGCACCTTCTTGTCCCAACAGAGTTTTTTGTCTTCTTTTTGGTGTGTTGTGAAACTCTTATTTGTGGATTTGATTTTTGATTCCTGCAAAGTACTTTTGGTGCAGTTCAAGTTTTGTACAAATAAAAATATATAAGTATATATATATATATATATGTGTGTGTGTGTGTGTGTGTGTGAGTGCGAGTCACACACACATAATGTATATAATATAACAGGAATCACTGAACTGGCACATTATTCCTGCAATATACACTTTCAGTACTTTCATAACTGAAGTTCTCTAGGATCCTAACACAACATAAAGGTGAAAAAAGCCCAGCGTAATGTTCTCAACACCAGGGCTGTTTTACCAAAGCCACCCTGGAGAGTACGCAGCGGAGAGCAGCCAGCCCTCCAGCCGGGTCTGCGCAGAGTCGACAGCCTCGTGATTGGGGTCAAGCACCGTGACTCGGCCGGACTCAGTGCACACGATCTTGTCGATGTCCTCAGCAGAGCTAAATCAAATGGGCCCCTCTGAACTCACAAAATGAACCACATCCACGTTTGAATTTAATTGTCCAGTTCCGAATGTGTACAAACAAAACTTCTGCTACCTGAACTGCTTACAACTCAACAATAGTGTCACATGGGGATGTCGTATGCAGCAATGTACATGGAAAAGCAAAAGGACAAAAAAGGGAGGGTGAGGGAGAAGCTGGGTTAACCCCTCGCTACCGGCATCTTCTACATGAAACACTTACCCCTTTGTTACTGAGCTCTGGCCAGTGCTTCCTGGTCTTTGTCTTGTGGCCTTCACCTAGTGGGTGGGGCTCAGGAAGTCACATGCCCTCTAAAGAAAGAATTACACTTTGAGAAGTAATGCTTCAAATTGATTTTTTTTTACATTTAAAAAATTTTTTTATTCTTCTCTGAATTGACCAAAATGCTAAATGTTCTATTTGGGGGAGGGAGGGGTGCTACTGCTGGTGTCATCTTTGTTGCTGCTGTAATTGTGGGGTGGTTTATTTTCCTCTGGGGGCTGTGGGGAGAGGGCG